CCAGCTCCAAAAAAGCAAAACAAATCAGATGAGTCAAAGCTACTGCTCCCTACTTAATAATTATTTGTATAAAAGCCATGAAGTAATTTTCACTCTTATATTCTCTGGCAATATGAATATTGGTTCCCTCCCCAGACAATCCCCTACTGTTTTAAAAAAAAAAAAAAATCCTATTATTTTTCCATGGAGTCACCTATACTTTGTATTTTCATTTGAGTGATTTAAAAAAAATGTCCTTTCTAAGCTCCTGGTAGTAGTTTCCTATCCGGATATCTGTACGTTAAAGATAAGGAAACTTTGTGTATCTGTTTCCTGACTCGAAAAGCTTTAGAGAGTTTCTATAGGCAAGCCTTGCCAGTCATGCTTGCTGTTTTGAAATTTCTAATACACTCTACTCCACAAATAATGCGTAAAATGCTAAGAATAATAAATATATTTTTTGGAGCTTTGTGATTTATGGTGCCCAAGTCTCTCAGCTCTTCGTAGGCACGTTTCAATGAGGTTTGGAGAGCAGAAAATTGGCATTTAGTGCTCTAACGCTGGGATGGGATACAGAAGATTTCTGTCCCGAGTCAGAATTTCAGCTATGCAAGCTTCTTAATGACTTGCCTTCTAAAGTGACTGACATATAGAAAAATGTTAAGACAACAGTGTAACATTATCGTCTCTCGGGCTCAAGTGCTTTCCCCTCTGAATGGGACAGGCCGGGAGCGCGGCAGCATAGTTGGGTATCAGTAAGCCATCTCAAATATGCAAACACAGGTCTCCACCTTCCAGTGCGTGGGGAGACTGTTCTGCTTCGCTCCCTGCGAGGGGTCTGGGGGGCACTGGAGACGGGTTTTAGTGTAGCTAGTTTAATGTTTTTGTTTTAATTGATTTACAGCTTTGTTTATTGCCCCTTTTTCCACTGTAGTTTGCTTGTTTGCGGGGGAGAGGAGATGGCCATCTTTGGGAATCTCTTCATCTGACATGCAATAGCAAAGTGATCGTATTAATAATGTCAGTGTTTGGACGTCTGGCATTAATTGTGTTTGGGTTGCATGAGTGTACTTGCAGTAGGGGGTACCCCCTCTTTCTGCCTTTGGCCTCTTCTCACAGGAATATATGAGTCTCCGAGGGCCTGATGCTGGCCTTAAGCTGCCGAGCGTCCCCCGGCTTTGGGAGAGTCACAGAGGGCCATGGAGTAAAGCTGGAGCAAGTGAGAGCAGCCCCGGGGGGGCTGGCAGGGGGGGGCTGCTGCCAGCGGGGCTGGGGAGTGCCCTGAGCCCCCCCCTGGGCACCCACCGCTCCAGGGCATTAACATGAGTGAGCTGCACCCCATGGGTCCCGGGGGTGACTGCAAAAATATCCAGGGAGCAAGGCCCGGGGGCAATGACCCCGATTGATACGCGGATTGAACCGCTCCGATAGGAAAATAGCAAATAGCGCGTCCTCAGCGTTAATCCAGTTGCACGGAATGATGTACTTTGACCACCTCCAGGGACAGGGTTGAAGCTTTCTAATGCAAAATTATTTCCCAAAATATGGGGGGGTGCAATTAGTCCGTCGGTGAGGACACCGGGCTTGCACAAAGAACCGATTATTGTGAGGTGGGCGAGACAAGGGCCCGTCCAGAAGTGACCGGCCGCCTGCTGTTCTACTTTTCCTGTTCTTGTTTTGGGAGGTGGGTAAATGTTTGGGCATTTTTCTTTCCCCCCACCTTGGTTTCAGCAAAACAGTAGTTTTAGGAAAGGGTGGTGAATTTTATTTTTTTTTTTTTCTTTTAAGACAGTTGTTTGAGGGCTTGTCAGCCAAGGAACTGAGTAGGGACAGAGGCACAGACGGGTCACAGCAATCATTGCTGCAAGGCATGAAATTTGGTTTGCTAAATATTTAAAGAAAGTTGGAGCCGGTTTTGTTTTCTCCCTTTCACTTGTAAATGGAAACTGAATTTTCAGTGATGGCTCCGATAAATACTGCACCCAGTTAAGTAATGCAGTTGGTTTTCTTTTGTGTCCATCTTTAAAGGGCCAGAGTAGGGGTAAAAATCACGTTCTTTAAGATCATTCCCTCTTTTCAAACCCAGTCCCAACACTGACAGAAACTAAATTGGTCCGTTAAAAAAAAAAAAAAAAAAAAAAAAAAAAAAAA